GAAAGGTTGGCCCTGCCAACCTTTAACATGGTTCCAGGATTAACAAACTTGTTGTAGGGCGAGAATCAAAGAATTCTGGACAAAAACTGGCAAAGCTAATTCTCTGCGAAGCTTACGTAGTTCTAGGAAAAGTGGGACCAGCCAACCTTTCTGCCATTTTCTGTGCTTCCAAAGTTTGGGAGAGAACCACGAAATATGCAAACAAGTTGGTAGGGTAGCTGCGAAAACAGCTGCGACCACATGCGTGCATTGGCTCAGCCATTCCAGTGCTGCCACCGAGGTGGCGCCCGCAGCAGCGGTTCAAACGGCACAACGTACCCGCAACAATAAGATTTCTGTCATAAGGACTCCGAAAGGCCCATGGGTGAAGCCCCAAGCAAGGTCTATGAGTTGGAAATTCTCGCACCTTGACGCAGAAGGCGATCAAGGAGACAATCTGCACAGTCAGCAAGCGCTGGCGCCCTGGCATGCATCAATAAATCAATCCCTAAACCCTAAACCCTAAACCCTAAACCCTAAACCGTTAAGGGCTCCGAGCCCTAGTTACTCCAAAGCGCCATTTAAGAAACATGCCCATGATTCTCTCCAGCAGCAAGGTGTCTGGTAGTGCGTACATGAATGTGAAGTCCTCATTGGTGTGCGCCCCTTTATTGGAAAAAAAGACCATGGGGTTTCTGGCTCGTTTCGCGCACCGTTTTGCACCCTGGAGCCTGAATTCCAGACTGAGCAAGCTCCCCTAACCTAAACCCTAAACCCTAAACCCTAAACCCTAAGCCCTATAAGCCCTATAAGCCCTATAAGCCCTAAGCCCTAACCCCTAAACCCTAAACCCTAAACCCTAAACCCTAACTCCATCAAGTCTGAAAGACAGTTCCGTAGCGGCGAGGCTGCCTGGTGCCATTGCCAAGAGGGTCGGCGCTGGCCTTGGGGCAACACACGAGCATTTCTAAAACCTAGTTTAGGGTTTAGGGTTTAGGGTTTAGGGTTTAGGGTTTAGGGTTTAGGGTTTAGGGTTTAGGGTTATGGGTGTCTCCGTGTCTGTATCTCTCTCGCGCTGCCCCTCTTTGCATGATAAGGACCACCTATATGCACGTATACATGCATGTGTAGAAGCATCTCGCTCTGTGGGGAAAGCATATGATTGAGAAAGTCTGGTTACTTGGAAGCTCTCACACAGGCAAAAGCAGACAGATAGCTTCGCTATAGCTAAGCCTGCCCCTGAGATGCCCACGAAGGCGAGCAAAAGAAGCAAGGAATCGCTGTTTTGGACCACTGGTAGCTGCAGAGCGGTTGTCGCAAAGAGAATTATTGTCTGGGTCTTCAACACACCAATATTCTATGGAACCAGTCATCAAGTGCAAGTGCGACCGGATGGCCCTTGCCTTGTCCGATGTTCTGCTTTGGCATCTTCCCCAGTGTCTTGCAACTAAACGTCAATCATGTCAAGCCTCCGTCTCATGTGATGTGGTCGTGCCTGTTGCTACTGATGTTGCTGCGGTTGTTGCTGCTGGTGCTGGTTCTGGTGGTGGTGGGGATGGTGGTGGGGGTTGTGTTGGTGACGTTGCTGCTGGTGCTGCCGCCGGGGCCGCCGCTGCCGCCGCCGCCGCCGCTGCTGCTGCTGCTGTTGCTGCTGTTGCTGCTGTTGCTGCTGTTGCTGTTGTTGCTGGTGTTGCTGCTGCTGCTGTTGCTGTAAGATTCTGGCCCAAGCATGAAGGATTTTCTCTTCAATCCTGAAGCAACAACTCATGAACGCGATGCCGTGAACCTTGACCGAAGAAGCCCGAGTCCCAACCCCAGCGGCCAAAACTGTTCAACCATCTTCAACCTCATCTGGAGGCTCATGGATCCTATCCCAAACCCTAATCCCACCCCCTGCGCTCGGCCAATGGCCCGTCTCCACAGGTTGTCCAAGTCGAACTCGGCCTGGGCCCACTGGAACAAATTGGCTTTTTGGGTGGGGGGGGGGGGGGGGGGGAGAGGGGGGTGAATACATCTGGAGCTTTCTGGGTCTCGGGTTTATAGGGTTCACTTTTCCCTACTTTGGGGGGACGCGTGGGTGTGTTAACAAGTTATTGGGCAGTATACCTTACGTCATGGAGGTACATAGATCGATAGATAATGGAGGCGCCCCAGCACTAAGGGCGCTTGAGGCTCTCTGGGCAGGTGTGGCGACATGTCGTAGCATCCCGGCCCAGGAACCACCACGCCCAAAACAAGGGCATACCCTCCCTAAACCCTAAACCCTAAACCCTAAACCCTAAACCCTAAACCCTAAACCCTAAACCCTAAACCCTAAACCCCAAACCCCAAACCCTGAACCTGAAGCCCTAAATGCACTAAACCTGAAACCTGGAAGCCTGAAGCTTAAACCGTAAACCCTAAAACCTGAGCAAACCTATCGGAGCCTAAGGGCTTACCCTAAACCCTAAACCCTAAACCCTAAACCCTAAACCCTAAACCCTAAACCCTAAACCCTAAACCCTAAACCCTAAACCCTAAACCCTTTTGGTTTGGGGGTTTAGGAAGCCTACTGCCCCACTTCTAGGGAAAGCCGCAGGAGCGCTGAGGGCGCCTCCCCCGTGTACCGGTATGTGACCATCAATCCCCTTTAGGTTTCAGGGTTCAGGGTTCAGGGTTCAGGGTTTAGGGTTTAGGGTTTAGGGTGTAGGGTTTAGGGTTTAGGAGGCATTTGGGCCCGCGCTTCCGATGGCCCACCACCTGCTTCAGGCCATCTGATCCCCAGAAGCACCTTGCCAGCACACGCTTTGCCTTCTGCTTATGATGGTGGCATTGATGGTCACTGCATTCTGTGAATGAGTCGGAGACAAAGAAACAAAGAGAGAGAGAGAGAGGGAGAGAATGAGAGAAACAAAGAGAGATAGAGAGAGAGAGAAAGAGATAGAGAGAGAGAGAGAGAGCGAGAGAAAGAAGAAAACAACATAAGAGAAAGAGCGAAAGAGACAGACAGACAGGCAGGCAGAAGGGCAGAAAGAGGCTGCCTCGAGGTGGGTCTTCCCACCTGAACCTCACACCCTCAATCACAGTGACCCAAGGTCGCTGCGGAAGGCGCCCCAAAATTCGAAGTTTGGGAGACTTAAGAGGAGAACTATTGGAGCCACGTGAAGCTTGGCGGGTGTTTGCAGGGGACACTTCTCTACCACTCCGCATTGCGAGGGCCCACTTGAGCCAAACGCCTGAACCCTAAACAAGTCAGACGCGGAGGGCCAGGCTGGATGTAGCGAAACGTCCCGGACCTGGCGGATGGGGTTTAGGCGGCTTCGGGTTTAGGGCCACTGGGGTTCAGTCGAGGTCCCCCAGATCCCGAAGCACTGTTGACACTGAACTTGCGCAAGGGCAAGCAAGGTGTTCAACTGACGTGCCTCCGCGTGAAGCGGACAGGGCCATGCGCCGCCACGGGTTCCCCTATGTCATAACTGCTTAATTTTGGAATGCCACCACAGTAGCCAAGATTGAACTACAGCCTCACCCGTGACAGACAATGCTTTCAGGGGCTCTCGGTGATTTGCGGTACTGCTGTCTGGCATGCCGTCACCTTCTCGGAAAATGTCTGAAGCCAAGGGCAACGCCACTCAGGGTTTGGGCTTCTTTTGCAACCATAGACCAGGCAACCCAAACCTTTTCCTTGACCGTCATCCTGGACCCGATCCTAAAATCCTCCAGTCCCCTGCAACGTTCCAAAGTTCCCAACTCATCTCAGGCTTAGGACTAGGTTTAGGGTTTGAGGCTTGGGGTCTGTGTGTGTGGCGCTGTTTCTTCAAACGCGGTTCCAACCTAAAACTCCTACCCCAGGGAAGATGCGGAGAAAAAAAAGAGCAATATGGGGACACGTCGATGGGGAGTGGTAGGCGGCACTGGCTAAGAAGAGGGTTCAGGGGCCAGGGCGTTGGTCAGAGCAGTCCCTCTTCCTTTTGTCTCTTGTTGAGCCCCGCTAGGTTTTCTTCTATTGTTGAGCGCCTTTGTCGCTTAAACAGAGACCCAATCCCGTCTATTACCCCAAAGCACGATTCGCACCCTTGTCCTGTTCGTACGTCACGCAGTGTTACAGAACAAGAACCCCGCGATGATCTGCGCAAAGCAGCAGCATGATTTTTTTTGGCACGGTCGAAAGCTCAGGTCTGGAAGCAGCGCCACAGCGCAATCACCAGCCTCGCAGGCTGCTTCATGCGAGGTTTGCAGACGACGTCAGCCGACAAACTTTCGGGTTTCGGGGTTTCAAGATCATCAGCCAGCGTTCTACAGGTTGCGTTGATCCGAGTGACTGAGGTTCAGGTTGCAGAGCGCCTGGCTTCAGGAACAGGTTCCCCTGCAGTTGGGGGGAGGGGTTCGGGGATTTTTCGCATGCCTTGGAACCCTACTCAGCCGGTCAAGAACCAGGGGAATCGCAAGTGAGGCATACCAGGTAAGTTTGCTATCAATGTGTGTTGACGAGATCGAAATATCGCTTCACGTCGTGGAGCGCAAGTCTTGAGCTCACAAGCTCACATGTCAACGGGCTGAGCGGTGAAACCGTTACAATACACGGCGCGAGCGTAGCTTCTTCAACCGGGTGCCACATACAGTGGGCTTCGCGCCTGGGCGGCTTTATCCATCACATGTGACTGGATGTGCCTCAGCTGGACTCGACGTGGAAGAGCTTAGGTACGAGCAGATTTCATGAGACACTGCGCCCGCCTGCGTGCTGTGGGGGGGTGCAGTAGAACGCAGGGGCGTCAAAGGCCTGTACGCTTGGCTTCACGTGCTTAGGCAACTCGTATCAACTAAGTTGTATTTTGGAGTTTCGTTTTCGCTAGGTCTAGCACCGCTGGGGCATGTTTCTTGCGCCCATGACTATTCGATGCGCTCTTGACGAAGAGAGCTCGCGCCTGTCCCCGCCTAGGGGTCTCTCAGATCGGGACGTAAGACTGTCGAGCTGTAGTTCAAAACCCTCAACCGTGATGCGCTGTCCGTCGCTCGCTCAAAGGCTTTGCGCGTGATATGAATCACACATCTCCAGTTTGATGGTATGGGCATAGCATCGCAACCTCGACATCGACCTGCTGCATCGGATGCTTCGTTGAGTGTTGGGAGGTCTTGCCCATCAATGTCAAAACCGCCACAATTAGACCAACAGATCGGAGTGTTATTGAATTGGATGAACCAGGGGCGTCCCACACGTCCTCAGAGACCAACTCTTCTGGCAAGACCTGACTGGCTTTGGGGCGTCGGCTCTGACATTCGCATAGGCCAGGGAGACTTGGGGGTTTAGGCTTATGAGGGTTTCGATGCTCGCGTCTTGCGAAATGCAGGGCGAGGCTCATTGCACTCAGACTCCAGCACACCAGCAGAACTAACTGATGTACTTCTCGACACGATGCGCCCCAGACATTTTATTTAGGGCTTAGGGCATAGGGTCAGGGGCTTAAAGTACTGTATCGCACCCTTAACCGAACTGTTCAACCGTGGTCCTCGCCTGGATAGGCCACCCCTGCCATGAGGCGGGGGGTTCTTCCAGCAGCACCGTGTAGTCCTGCCTTGATAGAGCAAGCAACAAGCGGCCGAATGCAGAATACCAAGGGGACCTTCGGGCGTAGACGGCGTGAAGACGGGATCACATGGCTCGATACGGTGATATGCTTCTTCACGACTGCAATACCAACTAGCCCTTAAACGGCCACTTTCTTCTCCTTGCCGGAAGCAGTGTTGTGTTGTGCTTTCACTCGGCATGTCATAGCATTACTTGCTCTCGAACCGAACATCGCCGAAAAGCCCTCTTCATGTGTTTATAGCACGCGGGTTTACTGCGCATGCCCGAAGTCTTTTTTTGTATTGCTCCTGCTGAGCGGCATGATGCCTGGCCCAAAGCCGAGGCCGGACATTTTCTTCCTAAGCTTTTCTTGCAGGGTCGGGTTTAGGGGACAGTGCCGCGCAGCTGCGTGGCCCCTTCTGCGTCCACGTAGAGCCCAAACGTCCTTTCCACGAATCGAACCTTGGAGGATATTTAGGGATCCCTGTAAATGGCCGTGTGTAGGTTGTAGATGATTCTCGATCTCGATGTTAAAGGGGTTTCATTAGTTTATTCCAGCCGAGGGGCATGTAGCAGAAGCGATCCGGCCCCCCCCCCCCCACAGTGACACACCCCACCCCCCTCCCCCCCGCCCAAGCCGCACACTAACGCCGCAAATGTCCGGTTTTTTTGGGGAACTCTTCCTGAAACCCACGGCCTGGACCCCCAGCTGGACCCAGACGCTGCCTGAGACCTTGCAGGGACACTCCCTGACACACCCCCCAGCAGACCACTGCTTTGAAAGGTTTTTGGAATTTCCTGGCCTTGGGACGCGGGCGGGCCAGGCTGCCGAGGCAGCGCGCAAGGGTTCACAATTCAAGGGAAAACAAGGTTTAGGCTTTTTGCAGCTGAGTACGGGCGCCAGCAAGCACCAGCATTAGTAAAGGTAGTCGTGAGCCTGCGCGTAGGTCAGTTTCAACATGAGTCCGCCTTTAAAAAAAAGGCCCTCGCTCCGAATCAAGAAAACATTCCGATTTCTAAAGTATCGCGTCCAAGGGTTTAAGGGGGAGCAATGCCTGAAAGGTCAAGGCAGGGGGAGGGGATCAAAGAAAAATCTAGACACCAAAAATGCAAAATCCCATCCGGTCTTGGTTCGCAAGGCTCCAAACATTGTGAATCGTAGCATTTTTGACTATTCGACTCCTCCAGCCTCCAGACGCCCTAAATCACTGCAGTCCTGCCCATTCGCAGGGTCCAAGGACTTACAAAATTGCGGCTTGTTCGCAGGCTCCATATGACAAAGTACAGCATCCTACTCGCACCGTTCTTTCGTGACTCAGGAAGCTCTTCGTATCCTAACGTGGTCTTTCACAGTTCGGGTCTACTTAGACAAAGTACCGCGGTTCTGCTTGCCAATAGGTCCACATGCTCTGACGATTCACCAATCATGGCGCAGCCCCCCCCCCCCCACCCATTCCAACACAATGATCGCCTGATGGAAGAACGTTCTTGTGGTGGCGAAACTGCAGTCCTGGCGTATTTTGCTGCTGCTTACTTGTCTTTCTTGATGTCTAACATTGTTGTTGATGCTTTATGATTCATAGTTGTTGTTGCTCCTCCCCAGAAGACAACATTTCTGCCTATTCCAAAACTCCAGACACGATGGACGATGGAACGCAACCTTCCGGCAGATTCAAAAGCTCCAAGAGTACTGTAGATCATCGCAGTTCTGCCTCTGCCTAGGCGGCAAATATGGTAAAGCACATCACATCTGAACTTACAGCATTTCCACCTGTTCAGCAACAGCTGCGAACATTCACCAGCTTCAAAGCCTTCCATCCTTCCTTTCTTCATTCCTTCTTTCCGGCTTCCTTCCGGCCCGTCCTCTAAGTCGTGTTTGTGATCCTTGTTTGACTTGTTTTCCATCCCTGTTTGCTTTGTTGATCCTTACTTGTTCTTGTTGGACCCCTATCCCGTGTGAAGGTTTGCTACAAGCCCTCAAGCCCGATACCCTACGGAAGGGTTGTCCTGCTACGCAATGCATCCAAGAGACGAGCTGTTGTGGGCTCAGCGATTGGCCCGTCAACATCTGCACGTACTAACCTTAGCCAAATCCCTTGAAGCCCGTCCCCTCACTGAGAGCCAAAGGAGCGACATGGTGACAACAAAGCTCCATGAGCAGGTCCAGAGTAGGTTTAGCTGCAAGCTGAAGGCTCGCCGTGCTACTTGAGGTACAGTATTGGTGTGCTGATGACGCGCTGCGACGACTGCCAGCAGTGTGTCGGCTGCTGACAAGAAGGCCCACACACCCGTCGACCATAAGACTTTCCAGCCCGACCCCACGGACTTGCTCTGCATCCGTGCTGAACTTGGCGCGCGCGCAGCCCCCAAAGCCTGAAGACCCTAACCACTGTTAGCACTATACTACGGAGCTCTACATCCTGGCTCACCGCGGAAGCCGACAGCCTGGTGATTACTTCGCACCCGCCACCACCGCCAAGAGTCAAGATGTCAATCCTGAACAGTGGACGGCGCAGCCAGTGGCCTGGCTGTAAACTGGGAGCTGAAGTCTGAAACGTCAAGAAAGGGCTTAATTAACACTTGAAACCCAGTGACAGATGCTGAACAAGGCCCAGCGTTTCGCGCATGTCCCGAGGCTGCACTACCCCCAAAACGCACGCGTGCTTTTTCAACCTGAAGTCCTGGAATCAAAGCCTGAGCGCCGCCCCAAACGCTGGCCGTCCGTACATTAGAGCCAGGCATTTGTCAAATATATTTATTTTAGAGTGTTGTCACGTCAACGCGCGTGCATCATATCACATAACAAAAACCCATGATGATCTGCAGCCGCATGATTTTTTAGCACGGTCGAAAGTACTCACGTCTGGAAGCAGCGCCCCAGCCCAATCACCAGCCGCTCACCAGCCTCGCAGGCTGCTTCATGTGGGATTTGCAGACGACGACAGCCGATAAACGTCAGAGTTTTGTGCTTTTTTACCCCAGTCTGATTTACAATATATCCCTCAGCACTCAAGTTTCAGCACGGAAAGCCTCGAAAACAAAACTTCTGGGTCCCGAAAGCAACCCCCACCGCATTTTGTGGGCCCCGGCGACAAGCCCGTTCGAGACCCCTTTCCGGCCCCTTCCACCAAGCCCTTCCCGCCTGCCCAACGAACCCCTATGAGGCCCAACTAAGCCCTCTGAAGATTTTTCACTTGTGGCTCCCAAGCCATGTTCGGGACCCACAGACTGCCCAAACAAGCCCCTTTTGAAGTCCACCCGAAATGCAACCCCACTGCATTTTGTGGGTCCCGGCGACAAGCCAGTCCAGGACCCACAAAACGCAGCCTTTCCAGTCCGCCGTCCAGCCAGTCCGCCGTCCAGCCCCCCACCTCCCCGCCGTGACAGCAAGCGCCCTCGCCGTCTCTATGCTTTGCACACTGCAGTCAGATTTTCAATCGTAAACCATCCCAAACCCTTCAAACCAAATATCTTGTAGTCAGATTTACGGAAAGAGCCCTTTTTCAAAGATGGCTCGTTCAGACAGAGATTTTTTGCAGCATGCAACCAAATCTGCAGTGAGACTTAACAATCCTAAACGCCCTTCAAACCAAATATCTTGTACTCAGATTTACGGAAAGAGATGGAATGAGCCTTTTCTTTTCAAAATGGCTTGTTTGGATAGGTATTTTGCAGCATAAACTAGACCAGCAAGTGGCAGGTGGGAAGCGCTTGGTTGAAGGGGCTGGACTGGATGGCAGACTGGGAAGGCTGCACTTTGTGGGTTGTCGCCGGGACCCACAAAATGCGGCGGGGGTTGGCGGCGAATCTCAAGGACCGCTCAGATTGTTATTGCTTTATACCCGTTAGCCCTCACTGCGAAGGTACGCGCAGAGATCCGCGTACCGAGCAAGGCCAAACCTCGATCCTACATGCCCTTGCATGACTACAAACCTGGCGTCCGAACTTGGATCCGTCCCAAAGCATGTTTAACAATGCAAGACCCATTGTGGATTTTGAGTGGCTGCATTGGGAATGCCTCCTCCACGCACAGGAACGTGCGGTGGACCTTTTTTGAAGGCTACGGCGGCGGTGGGTAATGTCTCCGAGGCAAGGCTGTGTGGTTTAGGTGGGATGCGATCGAAGGGTTGTTCCCAACAACCCAAACCCAATACCATCCCGCCCATCCCGAACCCTGAAGCCGAAACCCATTCACGCACTAGGGTTTAGGGTTTGGAGCCTGGGATGTTCAACCCTAAATGTGATCAAAGCCCTTCGCCGTCACATGTCAACCACTCCATACGACATTGATACCTCCAAGTCAGACAACAGACATGAAATCCACTTCCTCCCTCCACCGAGGGTCTCCGGCAAAAACCGAAATACATGAAGGTCAAAAGTGCATATTGCCCTCTGATTATTTGCCTATTCGCGCTAAACAGGCACCGAGGTCCCTTGGTGAGGAGCTTCGAGGTCTGAGTGTTGGGATCCGAGGGCTTGTGACCAATAGGGCGTAGGGTCTATGGTGGGAGGAGGAAGCCCTCTTAAGACGTGGAATGCCGCAGATGCTTCGGGAAGGGAAGCCTTCAGTGCAAGTTTTGGGGCTTTAGGTTCCAAAGATCTCCAGTGGCTTAGCCTCATGACTCGGCTTCGGGACGAAGTGGAGGGTGTGCGAGGCTGGTGTGAAATTTGCGCTCGGGCACTGCCGCTTGGATTCTGCAGTTCTGCAGGGCATGGCATGACACGCCTCCTCACCAATCCATGATTCTATGATAATCGCCAGAATTCCGAGAGAAGTTCGGGGCTTCAGATGCT